TTTTTTTTTATTATTTTCTTTTCATTTCTTTTATTTTTTTTCTTTTCTTTAAATTACTGAACACTTTCGTTTGACTCTCTTTCGTTAGCTGCTGAATTGTTGCAGAAAGTGTTTACAAGAGATAAAAAAGCATTTCGAACGTGCTGCCATGTTGTCCCGCCGAATTCAGGCTGCTATTTACATTTCTTTCTACAATTTCGTTGTACGAAACGCGTTCCGATGTTTACCAGCCATATATTTGCATTCACTGTCGCATACATAGGAAAATGCGATTATCGTCGCAAATTACTTTATTACGCCTCCGTTCATGTTTCTCCGTGCGAGATTTATGATCTAATCGCGCGGCGCGATTATTTCCCCAATGCCCGTTACGCATGCGAACTTCGTTCTTTCTCCACTTTAACAACTCTTTGGTAACGCTCGGATCGTGCAGACAGCGTAGATTTTAACCACGTAGATTTTAGAATGTAGAATCTATCGTCCGTAAGAACACGTCCGCGAGCCTCTTCGGTTTGCTTTGCGCCTCTGTGCATACGTATCTGCCTCAAGAATGATCCCGCTGTGAAACGGATAGCGTGGAACGGCTCTGCCGAAGCGGGGAACTTTTTTTGCAACAGATCGTAGCATGTACCGTTCCCGTTTAGTTCCGTTTACTGAGCCGTGCTCTTCCATTCGGCATAATTGTCTGTGTCGTTCCATCCGTCCACGCCGGCGTACAACATATTCTCTGTTCTCCCTTCGAATCGGCGAACATTTCTCCCTCGAAGCTCAGCGACGCCGCTTCTTTATACACGGTGGCCACTGAAAGACTGAACGATATTAACCTATACGCGCGGCAATCATTCTGTATATTTCATTTTGTGAACGAAATGCCACTTGGGCAATGCAGTGTAGAAATGATTCAAAAAAACAGTGAAAAAAAAGCTGACTAGATGATACGGTGGTAGTAAAGAGGAAAATGAAAAATATAACGTATTAATTATTTATTAATAAATTATAATATAATTAATTATTTATTAATAAATTAATATTTATATATAATTATATAATATATATATAATATTAATTAATAATTAATTATTTATTAATAAATTATAATATATTTAATAATAAATTTTCCAAAAGAAACTTCTTTAGTAAACAAACAAAAGATTGTATATACATGTGTATTAATAGTATGATACTTTTTGGAACATTCTGGAATATGTAAAGTTACCAAAGTTCGCATTCCCAAGTAGTTTCACTCCTCTTTCTGTATTTTTCCTTCTTGTAATTTTCACTATTTGGCACCTGTGCTGCATATCTATTTGTTTCAACAGCTATCGCGTCCCAATAATATTAGACTGAATAAATCTATGTTACAGTGGGATTATCTCCTAATTTTTACAAAAATAAAGCGTTTATACCGGGTGTTTCCGCGAAGATAAAACTTTTTCGATTATTATCTTTGGGAACCAAATTCCAATCATTAGCGTTATTTCCACATGTTGCAGTTTCATTCGTTTTTATTGCATCCTCGTTATCAGAATTCTTCGAAAGATATAAAACGTTTCTTCTGTTTTTGAAAAAAAAAAAAGAAAAATCTGTTCATCGCTGTCGCTGTCACCACAGTTTAAAATTATTTTTACGTTTGCCCATGCTTAATTAACAAACGAAATTATTTCATAATTAATTAAAACGTAATTGAAACCATTTCGTAATTATACAGAATAATTATTATTCGAAATCAATGGCAATACAATTAATGCACGAGTCTGACTCGTTATTCTGCGCGAATAGGTTGAGCAAAAATAACTTTTACAAACAAATGTTTTTTTTTTTTTTTTTAATTTTTTGTAATTTTATTTGGAAATACAATCGATGGATTTTATAATTTGATAATTTTATAAATGTACAAAAAGAGAAAATATAGAAGATTGAAAACGAACCTTCAGTTTTTCAATGGCCACCCTGTATATACGCGTGTACGGTTTTAATTCATTTTCCAACGAAACAGCTTCCACTGGCCGACATTGCTTTTACGACACAGTAACGAAACATTTCAACTTCGAGATTAATTTATATAATTTTGGTGATTATTTATTATTTTCAATGAAACAGTTTCGACTGGCCGACATTGCTTTACGCGTAACGAAACATTTCAACTTCGAGGTCAGTTTATTATTTTGATTAAGATACGGAGGTTATGTCGCAAAGTACAGCAAAGAGCGTAACGATGAAAAATTGTCGTGTTTTAAACTGTTATAACTTCGTGAAAGAAGATTGTGCAACAGTGTACTTGATTTCATTTTAAAGCGTGAAACTTTTTACTTCGATTGCCCTATTTTGATTGCTTTTTTTTTTTTAAGATGTTTTTACATCGCGCAGTAGATGCAAATTGTGAAAATTCGAACATTCCTAAAAACATTAGAAACATTTTTTCCACGAAGCCTGAAACTTTTTCTTTACGACGAATCCTTGAACTTTGCTCCACGATCTCTTTCTTTCTGCCATTTTGTACAACTTTGAACAATATGGTTAAGTGACGAAACGTTAGGATTTCTTCAATTTCTGTAAATCCAAAAGCTCAATAAAGTGACGAAAAGGAATTGTACAGCAAGTTTCAAGGAGTCGTGTTGCTCTTAATTTTCCAGATGACGGCTGATTTAGTCGTAAATAAAGTTTTTTCAGTATTTTTACGTATGAAATTACGTGTGAAATTTTTGCGATTCTTTTTCGAAAGGAAGAGAACACTTTCATTTGCTACTTGGTAAAAAGACGAATTCAAGATCCAAATAGAAGTTGTTTAAAAACGCTTTAAAAATGAGACCAAGTAGATTCTTACATTTCTTTTCTTACAAAGTTACAACAATCTGAAGTGACGATAATTTTTCGTTCAAAATTAATCGCCGCACAAAACTGTTTGTATCTATCAGGATATACTGGTGGTAAAATTCTTTTTTTTTTCCCCCTATTCTACGTGCAAATACTTGATGAAATATTATTTGTGTTGAAATCTTCAGTGTTGCAAGTTCACGTGTACTGTTCAATCTTCAAATGCGTTTCCTTCGACGATGAACTTCAATTCACAGATCACGATTTGCAAAGGCCGACGCGTTTCGGGATCGTCAGCAATCAATTCGTGAGCGAAGTTTGCGTCGTTTAACACAGTTGCACGTCATTTCTATGAAAGCATTCGCGACAGTGTCACACAACGTGCCATATTCGACGTGATAGCTGAACGATCGCAATCGGGTATATACAATTGATTTCGTTGCACGTGCCCTCCACGACAAATTAAATTTGTGGAATTCTTACCGAGCGTATCGCGACTTCCTGTCGCTTAATCGCCCCCCAACGAGATTACACGAGAGTATTGGAAACACGTATGCACGTACAGCAGCTGTACGATTTGTTTAACGCTGTATTAACGAGCCTTAAATCGCGTAGGCGGAGGCAGAGGCTCGACCACCTAAATTTGGAAGGTATCGAAGTATCGCGTGATACTTCTTCATGGTTTGGTTTTCTAGAAGCTACTCTCTTCGTACTCCGTTTTACTCTGCTCTAGGCTCTAGCGTATTTTTGTGGATCACGACTAGACCTCCGATCCTTCTGAGGAT